GGTTGGTGGCCATGATGGATCTTTCTGAAATTATATTCCAGAGTTTGGATGAGTTTACTTACTTTTTGTATGATTGGTGTCTTATGTGATCCCTTTGATGTTATTGTAACTTGGCAATGTTTTCTTGTAATCGCATTTTAAGTGCTTTATTGGTGTTTTTAATTTGTTATTTTTTTTTGGGTCTTATTGTGTAATACCTTATCATCTTCTATGCCAAGATGAAGGATTTCTTTTTATTTTTATTTTTTGGTTTTATTAATTCAATTTGTGTTCTTTCTCTTTTTGTTTTTTCATTCCTTTGTATGTTCAAGTATCTTTCTATTGTTAGTATACATGATGAATTGGCCTTTTATTTTTTATTTTTTTGTTTAAACATACGTATAAGTTTTCTTAATAACAATTACCAATCCATTTGTATTTCGATAAATATATTCAACTATTCCAAAGTCTCAATCCTACTTACGGCGACAAATTATCCGAGTTCATTATTTTTAATTTTTACATTTTCCTACATGAAGATTCCAATGGAGTTAGTTCTGGTATATATTTTCTTATATGTTCTACAAGAAGATGAGAACTTTTTGAGACTATGTTTTGAACAACTCATTTTTTTTCTCCCTTATTTTGACTCATCTATACATACAATTTAACTAATAAGGCCTCTATTTCTACCACATATGTAATCATATTAGTTAAACTATTTTGATCACTATAAATTATTATTCCCAAGAATATGCATTTTTGAATTTATTTCAAAGCATTAAGTTGACTAGTAAGATTGTTGTAATAAGTTAACTTTGAACAATACAAATCTTCATTTAATTTCGATATATGCTATTCCCAACTAATGTTTTTCCATATGATTTTAAATTTATCATATGTCTTCTAATGAACTTAATACTCCTCAATACAAGAGCTGTTCTATTCTAGTCTTTCAAGCAAAATAGGAATGCAACCTTGTTTGATTAATTTCTTTTTCCCAACAAACAGGAAAAATTAAGATAGCAATTAATTAAACATTTAACAATAATTGGCTAAATCAAAGAAATTCGTCTTTATCCAATGCATTTAACTGACTAAATATATGAATTTTTACTCTTTTGCAAAGAAAAAAACCCAAATTTAACTTATGATATAAGTAGGTGTAGATATGCATGTTTGTTGTGCATATATAATTAAAAAGAGAGGGAGAGAGAGAGAGAGAGAGAAAGAGAGAGAGAGAGAGAGAAGAAAAATGTTTGACGAGGTTTTACATATACGGATTGGTGTTGTTTTGTTTCAAAGCATTAAAATGCTGAAACAATTTGTTTGTGTCATATGCAGTTATGGTTAACAAAAATTATTGATGATTTAAGATGTAGGTTAGTTAATAATATGCCCCAATTGTACATTTCCGTATCAAAGTATTAAGCATTAAGAACATTTTACGCATATCAAAACTAAGAATCCATATACAAACCTAATTTAAAAGCTCAAATTTCCCAAAAAGTTTGAAGAAGCACATACTAATTCACCCGATTTACAAATATTTAATGCCAACATAAAAAATTCAATTTAATACCCAATAAATTATAATCAAATGTCAAATTTGAAAGTGTTGGGTCATCATAAATTTTGGAGTTTCCATGGATCTGGTTGTTGTAATCCAATTGTTGAGTAGTTTCAATCCACACTTTAAACTCTCCAAAAAGTAAACAATTTTCTCTAGTTGAGTCTCTTCATACCCACTTTTAACTTCAAGCTATGAATTTAAGAAAGTTTAAATCATGGTGATATTTGTCTACTGCCTAATAGCCCTCTTGAGATTCAAACTTCATAGTTACAGCAGAGTTTTGTACATAAGAATTCATACAAAACCATTCTACTATATTTGAATATGTTTCCGATATTGTCATGCATTATGATAGTTTTTTACCCTTTTTTTTTTCTTGGTAACGCATTATGATAGTTATACCAGAGTTTTGTTTAAAAAACTCTTGAAAATTGTTTGACGTCAATATTAATGGATGTAAAATTCTTCAAAATTTAATGTAGTAGCTTCAGCATGGCCATCATTATACATCATTAATTTGATTATTGTACAGACTAATGAATTGGTTCTCGGCAGTTTTTTAAGGACGCATTGTACATACAGCTAGGTGTACTGGTTTTCAAAACGTAGAAGACACATACGTATAAACGATTGAATTTTGCTTTACTTTTCTTTAATCGTCCACACGAATATATTGTAAATAAAGAGACTGTCCCATATAGAATAAAACCGTTCCTATAATTGCTCCAAATACCTCTCCCATTAAAATACCCCCATACATTTATTACTCGTACTAAAAAACACATGAATTTATTTCATGAAAAGTATGAAAATTAAGTTTATTCAGTTCCTAATGTTACTCACCTACATTGTTGATCTCCCTCCATTTCCTGACTAAATACATCAATTTTCATGACTACATGTATCAATTTCTTATGGAAAAACTAAAATATACAAAGAATATGATGGTTCAATGATTTTCCTAAAATTTAATTGAATAGATACATTTATTTTAATGGCCACATGTTTCAATTTTCATATAGGAAAACAAAATATTAATGGAAAACTATGATAAGAATTTTTTTTTTTTTTTATCAAGCTTCATACACTAAAAGTATAATTTTCATCACTTTCTCATGTCAAAATATTCCACAATTATGTGAAATAAAGTTCTTGCATTAAGTTTTGGTAAATGAACCACATAAGATGCCACATGCATAATAGAGAAATTTTTTTGGGTACTCACACAATAGATACCCCTGTTAAAATATTGTGCGAAGCAGCCAGAACAAAAACAAATTGTTTATGATGGTTGATGACTCCAAAAAATAAATAAATACGAAGTAATAGTCAAAACTGATTTCAAAGCAGATCTGGCATAACTTTTATAAACTGAATAAATGATGTAGTTTGCTATAGTTAAACTAGATAAGAGCAAAGATGAAAGTAAAAAAAAAACTTTATTGTTCGGTTTTTGTCAGAATTTGTTTTGTTAAGGGATTGTGATTTGAATTTCGGTTGACAATGAAATTGTAATTAATTAGAGAACAATATTAGGTGATAGGATTGTATTTTGTTATTACAATGAATGAAATTGGGGATATAGCATTAATTTAAGACATTATTTTAATGGAGAATATAATTCAAAATATTTTAGGTAGCCTAATAATTGTACTAATTAGCGCGTGTAATCAGTAGCCCCACCCACAAAACTAGGTGAGCCTGTTATATAGTATAAGAATTCTATTTTCTCTTATTTCATTGTAACATATGATATAAAGTACTGGTTGTTCATTCGAGAAAATTTACAAGATAAAATGACCATTGATGTGTTTCGTCATATCGAAGAACATACTTTTCTCCATTATAAAATAGATACTGCAAAAGGAACTTCACCAAGGATGCTACAATTCCATTGATTATGGCTGATAATCAAGTTCTCAACCTAATGTCGGAATTGCAATTAGATAAATTCTATTTCATCTAGTTAAATAGGAACGCTCTTTTAGTAGTCGTTTTGTGTGTTACTTTATTTATCTACTAATACTTTTTACATGTATAGCATTTGTTCAGCCTTCTAAATTTAGTGGCGCCCATTAAATTTCTTGTTTTCTTTATTAAGCCTATAGTTATGTTACGAGTCTTGTCTGATAAACAATAGATAATATTTGCAATGGCCACTAAGAACTATTTTTCTATCTCATTACAATAGTCTTTTTACACATCTGACAAAGGTTTAATTCAGTCAAGGGTTTATCACATTATTTTTAAACTCTTATAGTTTAATGGTAACCTTCATAAGTACAACTATAGTATAGTACATATAACTAGCATCGGTTTGGGATCAAAGTGATTACATAACTATACTTTTTTTTCTTTATGGAAAAAAAATGTTTACAGACGTATTTGTCAATCTGTTATTTCTAGTGACGAGAATGTTTTAACTCAACATTATTATTACCACATTGATTTAGTATATAACTCTGATTGAAAGGAAAAATGCACTAAGTCTACGATATTTAGTCTTTTTTTTTTTTTTGCAGGAAGTGCTTTGGAAGGACAACAAGTGTTTGATGACTTACCCCAAGTGTCAAGTCCTGACTAGAATACCACATAATCGGTGTTTCTTAGTACATAAAATTTTCAAATTCAATTATTACAAAAGCTAAACTAGAGCATCATTTTCTTTGTATATGAAACGCCAAGTTCAATTATATTAGGAACTATTTCCAAGGATTAACGTTATCTACTGAAATGACGATCCACAAGAATATTTTTCAATTGAAGATTAGATATGTATGCCTCAATATCCAGTGGTTCCAAATTTGTGCAAAAATTTTTATAGTGTATAATAATTAATAAGGTTCAGTCAAGTGTGTGACTTCTTAATATGGATGTAGTATAAACATTTGTCATGGTAAGAAATTGGCTTCCTTTACAAGCTAGAAAAAAAAAATCCATAAACAGTTCAAACTAGTAACCATTCTATCAAAAGTCTTTGCTTAGAGATAAAATGGATCTGTCAACGGTCATATTGAAGATAATATGGTAATTAAATAAGTCTTGATGATCCATGATTAATTGAAGGTAAATACTAAGTTAAAAAGGTCAATGCAGTCATTTCTTCTTTATTCCTATCATTTCTCAATAAAGTGAAAAAGGATACATCCGTTACACATATCTTTTATGGGAAACCATCATTCAATACCATTGATGAGTTATGAGCTAAAGTAGCACAAAAGTGAACAACAATTATGCAAGATGACAAACCACATATATCGGGCACTTGCCTCACTCGATTCCATATCGATTTGTATGTTTTTCTTTTTAAAGTTTCTCATACACTTAATTTTGCTCTCACACATTCATACAGTGAAAAAGAAAACTTGAGCACGGGTTTCTTCCTCAATTTCTCACTTTCTTTTTGGAGTCGTCAACTTGACTAAAACACAGGTCATGTAAGAGAAACATGGGATCATCAACATCTCCATTTTCATCATTAGCAAACCTTGATAGTTTCTTTCATCAGATTATCACCGAAGCTTCTAGATTTGAGCCAAATATGAGTCATTATTCCCCAAATTCATACTTAAAAAATAACAATAGCAGATTCTACCAAACCGACCACCACCATATCTCTTTATCACCATCTTCCTCTTCTTCTCTCACAAATAAGCTAAAGTCATTGAAAGATTTTCCTTTAGCTCCACCGGTTTTAAACAGTTTCGACATTCTACCAACCATGGCTAATAATCTTTCGTCATCAAGAACTTATGGGCACAAACCTCATTTCCCTGACCAAAATAATGAAAATCCAGCCATCCAAGCAGATAATAATTTGCTGGCTCAGTTGGAAAATTCGAGGCATTATCACCATAACTCGATTCACAATCAATTTGCTACACCCAACCCTATAGAAAACATAAACAAGATCTCCAATTCAGTCCAGGCCAATAGATCTTTGGTTTCGTCATTTTCAAGTGGAGAAGGAAGCCGTCGGGATGATAGAGTCTCCCGACGAACAAGATCAAGAGCACAATGCCATAATATGTACCACCCAAGGCAAAGGCTTCATTATGGAGGTGGAAGCAGTAGTTCATCAAGGAATCATCAACCCCAATTGAATCAATGTAGATGCATCGAGAAAACCCAGATGGAAGGCCCGATTTTGTCTTCCCCGAGTACTTGCCCAATTCATGAATCCAATAGGATCTCTAATTTGTCTTTGGTGAATCCTCTTGCAGCACAACCACCACTGCCGCCAGTTGTACAATCAACTCCTCCTATTCTACAGCCACGGCCACCACCACCGCTGCCACCAGCTGTACAGTTAATTCCACCGTCACCAGGAGCACAAGTTGTACATTGGTTTGCCATAGAAACCCCAAATATAATGTGATTTTTTTACTTGTTTGTTTGATTTTCTTTTTTAAATAAATTGTGTTCTGATTTTTTTTGTCTATTGATTATTTAATATGTAGGAAGTATGGATCAATTCCTGCTCATCAGTGCTTTGGAGAATTGGTCCGGTCACCATGGAACTCAGGCATCAATGAAGGACTTGACTGGCAAAGGTTAGTAATTAATTTATCTCCATGATTGCCATTTGTTTCTATTCTAGGACTTATTTTTTCTTTCCAGTTTATAAGTTAGATAGGACTTTGTACTTTTCCCTAATTGGTTTTTGTCCATGTTAATTGTATTCACATATGATATTTATTATGTTGTTCTGGACTATTTTAAGACATCACAATAATATATTCAATGTTTGCTAGATGATTAAATGAAATTATTTTAAAAAATTTATTGCTATAAAATTTTCAAATATTTTGCTAATTATTGTTAAAACAAACTTCCCCCTTTTGAAATTTCAAGAGGCATAAGGTTAGCAACATATCATGTGCTAGCTACCATGTCCTCCACAATGACCCAACAAGGTTAATCAATTATATATCTTTAAAACATCAATTTCATGAGTGACTGATTGTACATTTTTTACACCAAAAGAAGGGAGAAAGATTGATTTTTCTTTACTTCATCTCATATAAATGAAATAACTAATAAGTTGTGAACAGGTCTCAAATACACAACGCTGAGTGGAATGCCTCCCTGACATCTATAACATCGTCTAATTCTCAAATTCTGCAAATAATACCAAATCAAGAGAGTGAAACGAGCCATTGGCAACATTTCAATCTGGAACCGCATAGCCAAGGGATAGGTATATTTACTAAAATTTAATCATTAATATTTATTTCTCCTTTTACATAGCCACTTCGATTGAATGAGAATAGGTTACTTTGAAGAAAAAATAGATAAATATATTTGCGAAAGAATTTACAAGTAGCAAGCTAATGGTTTGTAGTTACAGCCATAACTATTATGCAGCGAGTTTACTTTACATAATTGATTGTGCATGTAAAAATAATTATATGATTGTTGAGATGTAAATTTTCATATAGGACTGTACATTTTTACGAATATCTAGTTCAACTTGCAAGAATAAAGAAAATAAGCTGAACATGCCAAAATGCCCTTCTCAGTATGTATGTTTTTGATAGAGCCGTTCGTACAATGCTAACAAACGACTACTTCATGTAACATCTCTGATATATGTTAAACTAGGGCGATTTTGGAAAATTTAGAAGATGATAAGGATGACCTTTTCTATTAGAAGTATGAGTATATCTCTTTTACTAATTAATCCTTTTTAATGAATTCTTAATATCTCTTTCAAACTGTTTCCCGTAGGTATGGCTGGAAATTTGGAAAGCAGCTCATTCTTGGTGCAGGGACAAAGCATTCAGAGCATTCCCACGATAACTTCTCCCATCATCTCAACTGCTAGATCAGTCATGTTACATGATGAAATCAGAATAATTAGTACTCAAGAAGGTAAATGGGAAAACCAAGATGTTGGCATCAACCAAATGACTCCATTTTTTGAAATGGAACGTGTCGAACAACCAACCAAAGTACTCTTTCAAATTGATGAGGAGCTCAACCCGATCATTTATCAGGGTCCAGTTCAGGTAGATTGTCACAACAAGGCTCTTCAAATCTCACCCTCCATGATCCCCTCTTCATCTTTTGGTATTGGCTTGTCAAATCGCCAAACTACAACATCAATAAGAAATAGTACTAGTGAGGTTGATGCTGAGAAGAACAAAAATGAAGAAGAGGTAGGAGGAAGCCAAGGTTCAACTAAATTAAATGAGAGAAGAACCGAGATGAATTTGCAGATAGAGACCAATTTTGAGAGAAATGATCCATTCTTGGGGGAAGATGAATTATTCGATTTGATCAACTGGCCCGACCACCAGATGATGGGCAATACTGATCGGTTCGGGTTTGAAATTTGATTTTTGATACTCCAACTCAACTCCATGGTTGTACTTAGACGGAAAAAATAGGAAAAAAGAAGGAAAAAAGGAGAGGTTAGGATTAGATCAATAATGATGTTATATAATTTAGTAAGTATAAATAAATACATGGGGTGGGGGGATATGATGCTATGATTATTAAACAAAAAAAAAGGCTGTATTTTTATAAATGGAGATTTTTTTATTACTTTTTTAAGCGTTGTTACTTTCTTTGTCATTTCACTCACTCAATGAATTTGGAGATATGGTGAATTTTCAAAGTCATATTTATTAGGCACTTCCACATGCATGTACTGTATCAAAACTGTTAATATGATATTCAGATCGATCTTGCAAGATTGAAAATAGAGATAAATAGGTACATAATTATAATTTTTTCAAGATCTACGGTGAATGAAAATTGGTGTCATTTGCACCATTTCTGCTATGGTTATCTGCTAACATCAGAAAGATTCATCGGTTACAGATACATGTAATCCAAATATCACTCTCATAAATACCACACTCTAAGAGCCGACTACCGGAAAACCTCATCTCATATTCTATTCTAGCTTCTTCTTCCATTGCAAGTCAACTAAGATCCCATAAAGATTTTTCTTCAAAGACACAAGGTTTCACCGACTCCAGCAAAACCTCTTAAGTTAAGTGATACATCAGATTGCCTTGAATTCATTTCTTTTTCCAAATTATTGATGTCCACCGACTAATATAAATCTCAATTCTTACCACCTTTCAAGTCTAGGAAGCAAAACAGCAGCCACAAAGATTGACGACTGAACATATATACTTTTATAAAAAAAGATAAATGTTCTCAAATCTACTTAATTTCCATTAATTTGAACCCTATGTATATTAATGTTCTCTGATCTAGCTTTAAAACTACTCCTACTGATGATGATTGATTTCCGGGGTGCAAATCCACCATGAGAAGATTTGGTAGTAATGGAGATGGGACATTCAAAAAATACACAATTTGATGTTTTGGTAAGATTACCAAAGAGTGAATGTGTTTTAACTCAAAATCAGTGTGTTTTAACAATATTGTCAGCAATTAAGAAAAGCCTTTGAATTTATCCATATTTTAGATAAAACAAAATCCTACACAAAATTTCAAATATCTAATATACAAGTTTAATCATAGTTTGATGATATATATCGAAATGATATTGTTATCTTTCGAATTGAGCTACGGACATCGTCCAAAGTGATTCATAGGGTTAATCTTCATTTGAAGACTAGACTCTAACCAAAGGGCTGCAGTTGAATCAATTTTCCCCATGGTGTATTAAGCTTCATTTAATTGGGTGTTTCTCCATTTAGTTTGTACATAATTAAGATGATATTTTATTTGGGTCTTTAATATCAATAATTAACTCATCTAAGAAACCAAAGAATTAATAGGGTCATTGATATCTTTTGCAACTTTTTTTCTTTTCTTGATTTATGTAAGATGACAATTCATATTGGTCATTTCCTTTCTTAGATTCATCTAGATTTATATATATATATATAGATAAATATTTTTGGCCTCAGAAAGCTCTCACACAGTCACATAGTGGAAAGAAAGAAAGGAAGAGAAGTTGTATACGCTCTCCTTCCTAAATTTCTCACTTTTCTATGTAGTTTTCCAACTTTACTACACCCATGTCATCTAACGGAATATGAGGTCATCATCACCGTCTCCACCTCAATCTACTTCTTCATCCGTTAGCAAAACCTTGCTAGCTTTTTTCTTTTGCTATATTCTCACCGATACATTTAACCCAAAATCTGAGTTGTCATCTCCCAAATTCTCATTTGAAAAATAAGCAAAACAGAATTAATACTTCCAAACCAAACCACCGTTTTCTCTTCATCATCTTCTTTTATTATTCTTCTCTCACAAACCAGATGAAATTCCAAAAAAAAAAATAAAATTCTTCCTTTATTATTCATCAATGAATACCAACTTGAGTTCTTCTTCAAGAACATGTTGGAACCCACAAAACCCCAGTGAAAATATTTTGGAAAACCCAAATCCCAATAACCATAACCCGATTCAACTGCCTACAGAATACATACACTGGATGACAATCCAGTGCAGCTCCATAGCTCTATGGGCTCATCACCAACCAGTGGAAAAGGAAGTTGCCGTCAGAGTGGAGTTTCCCGAGGACCAAGATCGAAAGAACCATGGCATGATATTTACAAGGCAAGGGAAAGGGTTCATTTTGGAGCTGGTAGTAGTTCATCATGGAACAAACCCGAACCGAAAAAATGTAGATGCATCGAGAAAATACTGACGGATGGCCCAATTATGCCTTTCCAGACGAATTGTCCAATTCATGAATCCTACTGGACATCAGATTTGCATATGTTAAGTCCTCTTATTCCACAACCGCCACCGCCAGCGTTTGTACATTGGTTGGTTGTATAAGCCTTATATTGTTGTTTATGAAATTTTAGTTTTGTAGATTCTCAATATAATGAAATTAATTTTTGTTCTGATGGGATTTCTTTATGTATTGATTATTTATATTTGTAGAATGTATTATGGGCCAGTACCAACTTATCAGTACTATTCTGGAGGATTTGTGCCAGCTGCTCCATGGTATCCAACCCTCCACGAGGGACTTTATTTGCAAAGGTTTATCATCTATCTGTTTGGAATTTTATTAATTTATTTTTTAAATTTGCCTGTTGGGGATCTCTTTGTTTTTCCCCCTAATTAATGTTTCTCCTTTCTAATCCGTAGACTGCATCTTTTTTTAAAAAAAATGGATTGTTACCTGGTAATATTATCTCTGTGTTTGTTAGATGATTAAATGATCAAAATTATTTATAAAAAAAACAATTTTGCCATGAATGCCCATATAATTTGATTGGGTTGTCATGTTTTCTTTTTGATTCAACATATTTGTAACCTTTTTTAATTTTGGGAGACGCAATGACCCAACAAGGTTTAATCAATAATAATCTTCATCAAAGAACAAATATGCAAAGATTGACTATACAATATTTTTTACACAAACAAAAAAGGAACAAATTAATCTAGCTTGATTTCCTTTTCTCTTTAAATGAAATATATATGCACAGGCCAGAAGGAAGTACAATAGCTTCAACACTTGATTGGGATCGGAATTTGCTGCGGCCTACAGCACCGCTGAGTTTTCAACTTTCGGAGCCAGTACCAAATGCAGAATTTGAAACAAGAAATTGGCTAAATTTCAATCTGGAATCACTTACTCATGGGACAGGTTTAGAACTAAATTTTTATCATTAATTAATATTTAATTCCTTCATGTATATGTTATTACAATGAAATAATAATAGAAACTCATATATTGCACAATAATATACAAGTAGCCATCTAGTAATATATATATCATAGCCTTAAATATGTATGTAGCCTCTTCACAAATATCAGCGTTAATGAATAAGATAAATTAAAATGTACGATTTGATGACCATCGCATCTCATATGTCTTGTGACTTCTTTTATATGGCTCTTTCAGGAAAATCTACCAGATGATGAGACCGACCTTTATCAGTATATACAAGTATATTTACTAATATATTGAAATTATTCTTACTATATATCTTTCAAATTGTTTCACAAAGGTAATGCTAGCAATTTGGGAAGAAGTCCACTTGTACATGAACAAGGCATTCAGAGCTTTGACTCGATGGCTACCCCAATAGTCTCAACTACATCAGTCAACCCACATCATGAAATATATGAAATTACTCAAGAAGTTGATCACCAGATGCAATGGGGAAATCCAAATGCCGATAGCAATCAGATGGCTCCACTTTCCGAAATCGAACGTGCCAATGAGCCCTCCCAACTTGTGCAATTTAATGAGGAGCTCAACGCGATAATTTACGAGGATCGAGTACATGATTATAACAACGAGGCCCTGAAAATCTCTCTGTCTATCCCCTCTTCATCTTCTGGCCATGGCCCAACAAATTGTCAAAGCGCAACAACAAAAAGACCAATTATGGTGTTGATGGTGAGAACAAGCATAAAGAAGAGGTAGGAGGACGCCATGTTTCATCTAAGCCAAATGATATTGTTGGGTTGGGGAATGAGGGAATAACCAAAATGCATTCGGAGATGGAGACCACTTTTGTGAGCAATGATGATTCATTGTTGGAGGAAGATGAATTCTTGGATTTGGTTAATTGGCCTGACCACCAGACGATGGTCAATACAGATAGATTTGGGTTTGATATTTGATAATTATGGAATTGTTGGACCATGGCGAACCATATTTACTCCAACTTCAAACTCAACAATGGTACTTAGACAATCAAATAAAACTAAAAGTAATGATTAGGTTAAGTCGATAATGGTGTAAATTAAATAAATGATTAAACATAAATAGAATCTAATAGCCAAGTGATTCAGGCGAGGGTAAAAAAGAACAATAGTTATATACAACTCATTTTTTTTTATATAAATGTACCATGGTAGTATTTTTTTTTTCAAGGAATATACAGAAAGCTTTAGTTTGTTTTACGAAGTCATTTTCATTTTGTGTTTAGACCCGTACACCCTATCAAAACTTTTAGAGATTTGGATTTTGCATCATTAAAACTAAAGATAATGTGATCTATACTGAAATATTTTAACGATATGTACGTATGATGAAGTAAAACAAAGAAACAAAGTTAAAGAGTTCATGAGCGTCATTTTGGAGCATTTTTTCTTACCATTACTCATTAAAGTTTAAAAGATCACTCGGTTACAGATATCTGTAAGGCGAATACCACACGCAATGCCACTTGTAACATTAAAAACTGAACTGGCACGGAATCAAGAGATAATAATCATGCTAAAGGGCAACCAACATTGGCCATAAGCTTCTTAAATTCCTCTGGTTTTGTAATTTTCAGTTGCAAAAACACTTGTTTAAGCTAGAAGGAAAATTTGGGTACGTCTTTTCTTCTCAAACACTTCTCTCAGCTTCATTTCATTATTGTCAACTTCACAG